AAAAATCTTTCCTTTCGAAGCCCTCCTAAATCCGTGGGATTGCATTGATTGAGATATTCTAACATGCTTGATTCTTCCTTGCTTTGGAACATTATGAATTATCATCAATCTCTTTGATTTGTTTCCTTGTGAGGCCTCCATCACATGCACACTGACCTCAGGAAATCTTGGGCATGAATCCGTGGCTTGGGCCTTGACCTCCGAGATTTCATCTTGACATTTGGTGGAACCTTGTGCCCCTTGAGTTTTTAGAATTCTAGAGTTGGCTTACCATCTGTCGACCATTCGCCAAGATGGGTGGTATGGGAACTCCAAATATTTGGATGTTGGGCTTGGCCCTACTTTGGACTATATTTGAGTTCTCAAATATTCGAATATTGGGCACTCGGCGGACATACCTCCCGCCGAACTTCAACTCCCTTGGCCCGACTTTGCTTGCCCAAGTGTTGAGAGGAGGGCGCCTGGGTGAGCAAGGAGAAACTTTACCCTAGCCCAGCTTTTTTGTAAGAGGAGTGGCCGACCAAGGTATTTAAGGAGTGCCCGGCCACTTTTGCAAAGGGAAGTGCCCGACCATATTTTTGAGAAGGCACCACGGTCTTTGAAGAAAACACATCGGCCGCATTTTTGAGAGGGCACCATGGTCTTTGAAGAAAACACATCGGCCGCATTTTTGAGAAGGCACCATGGCCTTTGAAGAAAAGTCCTCGGCCACCTTTTTGAGAAAGTACTTCGGCAGCTATGAATTCTCGGCCGCTAGGAATCTCGGCCGCTAGGAAATCTCGGCCGCTAGGAATTCTGCCCGCTACGAAATCTCGGCCGTTAGGAAATCTCGCCTGCTAGGAATCTCGCCCGCTATTCTTCCATAACCCAGCCGTACCAGCGTGTAGCCTAGCTGCCCAAACTCTCCAAGCCTCGACCGTATCTTTGCAAGACCTCTAGAGCTTCAAGCTCGGCCGCAATTCCAAGAGCCTAATTTCATCCGTGCCCAGCTCCATTCGGCCCAACTTCGTAGTTGAGAAGCCCGGCCGCTATTCTTCTCATGCCCAGCCAATTCTCATGCCCGGGTTAGGTGGATTTCTACCACCCCTAAACATTGCCCCCCGATTTGCTTTGCTTGGAATTGGTGTAGAGGTAAGCAAATTGAAACTCGAGACCTCTCAATTTCTAAAGTTAAAGACTTTTGCTCACCTTCCACATTATTAAATTTTGAATCGGGCTAGATGCCTGGGCCATTGCTTGGCCCCATTTTGTAGTGAACTTTGCCCACCTATATATATGATATCTTTTGCAAGAAATCTTTTAAAGATTCCCATTCTTCCAATAAAAATAATTATTTTACTACAACGATATTTCCTTGCGGCGGACTATCTCACCGCCATTGATTGGAGAGAAATGGACCTAACCATTTTGATTCAAATCAGTTTTGGCGATTATATGACCACGGAGGGCAAAATATAATGCCTCAACTTGGTTGCAGTAAAATATAAGGCTAAACGAAGTTTCTCAACCGGCGAGTATTTTCTCTCGGTGGCCGTTAGAATTCGACTGAGGTAATATACCGCTTGCTCTTCTCATCTTTGCCTTGGGCTAGCAAACTTCCGATGGAATTCTCCAAGGCCGAAATATATAATTTCAATGGTCGGCCCCGCTTTGGCGGAATGAGCACCGGAGGCTTGGCCAAATATTCTTTAATGGCGTCGAATGCCCTTTGGTGCACCAATAATCCTATGAAATTCCTTCATCTTTGAGTTTTAATAAAGATGAGAAGGGCCCAACTTTTCCCGCTGAGTTGGCTATGAACCTTCGAAGAAAGTTAGTTTAGCCCAACAAACTTTGCACACCTTGTTTTTTGAATAGGGCGCGCGAATGATAGCCTTAGCCTCATTTTTATCAATTTGAATTCCCCTTTGGTGCACCAATAATCCTATGAAATTCCCGGCAGAAACCACGAAATCTTGACTTACAAATTTGGCCTAATAAATTTGGCTTTCACAAGTCTTACAATTTCTTCATTAACTTGTAATTCTACTTCCGCCCACATCCAATGAGGCGACTGCTTGAAGGGCTTAAAATCTTCCACCGTTGGTAAACGATGCTCGACCAAGTCACGACTCAATCTAGGCATCTCGGTGTGTTCCCAAGCGAAGCAATCCTTGAACTCCATTAGACATAACGTAGATTGGTCGATGGTTGTCTTTCGTCCCCAAGCTCGAGTGCATCATCCTCCAAACCTTCATGAAGGAATTCCACCAAGTTGGACGGTGGACCCATGCTCGGCCGCTCTTTCGGCCCAAAAACAATATAGTCGTCTCAAAGGGTTTTCCACCGTGGCCTTCTTCTCTTCCTCTATACTTGTATCACTCATTGAGGGAGAAAAAAATTAGCTATATTGGGACTCTCCCCATCTGCTTGGGCATCATATGCCCCCAAGTCTATCAACTTTTGGGCCGAGTCTCCCGTAGGTCGGCCGTTCCTATCTGACCCCGTAAAATAAAGAGGCCCAATATCATCCTCATAAAACTCTGCCTCCGTCGCATTGGCGGAGGCCATGAAGGACCGTGCATCGGCCTGAACAATCTCTACACTTCCATCCTCATGCCGAAATTGTAAAAAATGATGAAGTGAAGAGGGCACACACATACTTCCATGGATTCAATCTCGGCCCAACAAAGCATTGAAATGAGTCGTTGTCTCCACCACAACGAAGGCAGTCATTTTAACCTTTTGCCCCACTCTAACTTGGAGTGGGATAATCCCGTTTGAAGTCATGGTGTCTCTCACGAACCCACTGACCATTGTCTCGGTCGGAATTAATTCATTTGAGCCTTTCTTTAATTTCCTTATGATTGAGGCATGGAGGATGTTGACTGTAGCCCCTGTATCTACAAGGACCTTGCCAATCGGAACTCCATCAAAATGAGTGCCCATGTACAAAGGCTGAAGGTGGAGGACATTTTCTTGGTGGGCATCTTATAACACACCTTTTCAAGCAATTTTTCCTCCGTTTTGGGCACCACGATGCAAGGTTGGGCATTCCATTCCTTTGGAATTTCTTGGGCCACCTCAATTTCTTTGGCCCATTCCATTTGGACCATGGACCCAACCTCATTGAACACATCTCCATCCATATAATTAGGATGATCCGGCCGAGCTTCGAAAAATAGTGGGAGTGTAACAACCATGACATTTACCTCGTCAAAGTCTCCAAACTTCACTTTGGCCTTGCCCACTTTTAGTTCATTCTTAAACTTGGCCATCACTTCCTTGCACTCCTTTTCAAGATGCTTCACACCCTTCATCTCCATATTCTTCATCTTCGGCTATCAAACCTTCGGCCGATGCAAAATTGGGCTGGTGGTTTTCTAGCATCTCTTTATCTTCTCCTTCAACCGTATATTCGTCCTCTTGTCTTCCCTCGGCTGTACATTCGGTCTCTTTTCCTATTCTGTTGGCCTCGGCCTCGGTCTCAACCATGACTTGGTCTTCCTCCACCTTTGGCCCACTTTCTTTCATATGGAGCTCGCCCCTAGTTTCTTCGACCATGTTCTGGTCATTTTCTCCTTTCTTCTTAACCTCGGTGGGCTGAGCTCCCTTGGTCACTATCGGAGTCTTGGTGACCAAAGGTTTGATTTTTGGTCAAGT